CATGCTATATATAGTGCAGGAAACTATATTCGATAATCTTGTAGTAACTTACGGTGAAAAAGAATATGAAAACGAATATATGTATGTTCATGTATGACTGAAGCATTGTGCTGTACACCAGGAATTGACACATGTAAACTAACTATACTTCAATAAAAGACACACACACACACACACACACAAATGGGGGAAAAATTACTCTTAGTCTCTTCTGGCCACATGCCTTTATTTGTAATCAACTGGGCTCCTGATCTATACTATAAACAATTATATTTGGATTTTCTGCTGCAAACTTCCATTACCTGCTTGCTACCTTTAACTTTTGGTATGAATCTAAAGATTACACTATGACTTTTAATATTAATCCTTAAGACTGCGAACATCTTGGCAGTAGGAACCAAAAGCCACTTTCCTGATGCACTAGGCCTTACAAAATTAAAAGAATCTTTAATGTTTGTTGAATAAACCTAAAAATTAAGAAGCATAATCTGATGCAAATGAATCTCACAATGCATGGTACACAAACTATTTGAAAGCATCTGATACTATTTTATTAGATAAAGAAAGAGGAAAAATGATACCTATTCTTTTGCTCCACTAAGATATTTGTCAGTTGACTCTTAATTGTGGGTCTATTCTTTGTGGTTCCTAATTTCATTCATACATACATAATAAACTCTAGGTATAGCTAACCACTGTACGAAGTGATAAGGACATGGAAACAGTCTAGTAAAAGCAAACAGACTAATATTAGAACACAGCTAAGAAAATAGAAAACTACTGGATAGTACATTATGTAAATGATACACAACAGTGTTTTTTAAATACTAGATGTGCCCACAAATGCTGATTATGGCCTATCTCTGTTAAACGTAGAGCACCTACTAGCACCATACGAGGGTGAGTACATTACAGTACACTGACATAATAACTCCACTGCTAGCCTGTGCTCAACTCTAGGTATATGCTAACCACATAAAAGTTTTTGTTTGCTAACTAGACAACTGCTGAAACTCAGTAACAGCCCTTGTTTGATCTGATTTCCCAGCAAATATGTACACACACAGGCCCACCAAAACTTGACATGCATTCTGTCAACCTAGAGCAAGATAATGACTAGAAATATAACTGCCCAAAAGGTCAGTTTTTATTTAGCCCTCTGGAGAATACTTTGCCCAAAAAGATATCCTGACTGATTTCATCAATGGCATTATGGAGAATGTTTAAATGTATGACTCAAAACTAACTTACTAATTCTCAAGACTTCTAAGCAACAGTTAACACAGACTGAGATAAGCTTTCACTGTGTTACCCTATTCAAAGGTGACAAGTCTCACTTAAAGTATTAGTCATAACTCAACCAGACATAACTTTTACATCTCCTTCTCATTAAGAATAGGGTTCTGAACCAATCTGTGTCAACATTTTATCAATGATCCATCCTTGACTTACACAAATATGGCATAAATAGCCTCTGAAACACAAATTACTCAACTGACTTACAAAACTAAAGTGGTGTTTGGGGGTGGGAGCCTGGGGACGGGAGGCAATCACTAGGAGGGAAAGGGGGACATAATATAATCCTCAAAGACATTTCACCAGTATGTACTGTGGGATGGAGTAGAGACTGAGGGGACACAGAGGTTGGAATGAGCCGGAACTTCTGTATTTTCACTATGCATAATACACTGGTCCCAGGGGTACTGACTAGAGCATGACGAACTCTTTAAGAAACAAAATCCAGGATATGCTTTTTTTTTCTTTTTTAAAAGATATTTAGGTCTAAAAGCCTAAAAAAAGAAAAGAAGAACCACTTCTTAAGTTCCCAAAGAATGTATACTCCATTCTAAAAATATTCAGATTACCTTCTGCTTGGAGGAGAGTATTTTCTTCTAGCAGTGTTGTCATTCTCCTTGCACGACTAGCTGACCTTTTACCATGTACTGAGCACAGTAATAAGCCTTTTACATACGCTGTCTTCGTAATCCTACAGCAAGCCTGTTGGATTGCTGGTACTGTTATCTCCATTTTACAGATGAGGAAAGACAGGGCAGAAATCAAAATTTAAAAATTGTGTCTTATTACAGAGTTAGGGTCTTGCTCAACTGGCCTTTATATAGGAAAAGGGCACAAAAATTAGCTTCTATCCCATCCCCAAAGCAGCTATAAACAATTTTTTTTTACATATCGCAACACGTTAACCTTCACATGCAACAATGTTTCTATACCGGATAAAGCAAAACAAAAACTAGGTTAATAATGCTGCATCTTAGTTACTAGAGCTCATAAAACTACAAGGAACAGAGAGGCAGTTTGACGGCTTAGAGCAACCCTTTTGGGTTTAGACATCTGGGTTTGAGTCTATACAGCACCATCAATAACTGCTGTGTGACCGTAGTCCAACTAATTTCTCAGATTTCATTTACTCATCTGTGAAATGGGGATGACAACAGCACATCCCTCAAAGGCTTGCTGTAGTTTTAACAAAGAGGATGTGTGTAAAGGTCTTATTTCTGTGCTCAGTACATAGTAAACGGTCAACTATGGAGGAGGGAGAACAGCCACATATATAAGCCCACTAAACCAAAGTACAAAAATAAAAGTAAAATGTCTGTATTTTGAAAATTCCGTTATAGTCAAGGAGAAAATAACTATTTGAATATACGCTAGAGATAGAACTCAAATTTAATCTATTCCTCTTTTTTTTTTCCAGGGGAACAATGCATCTGAGGTGGGCCAGAAAAGATGCTGCAGTGCATCTGTGACACACACCTAAAAATGGCTCCAGTCAGAGCAGCATCTTAATTACCAACACAGGAGGTTAAATCTACTTTTAACAAATGCTAGAGTTAAGCTTGGTGGACCCTTAAGCATCATCCTATCATTTTTATCTGCAGGAGTAAGCTATCAAGCACCTAATCAAGGATCCCGGATTCTTCTGGTGCATTCCAAATGAAAATCTTAAAGCACAGCCGCCTACTGTACAATTCCAAGCACCCTGGTGAGGTATGAATCTACAGACCTAGGCTGAAGATCGGCCAATGCGGAAATCCGGGTAGCTTTAGAAGACAGCAAACATCAGGCATGTCAGAAAGCTCAAAAAAAATCTCAGATCAAGTTAAAACAAATATGCAACCTTTAAAGGAATTAGACGCATTCTTCTCAAGCAAAGGAAGAATCTATCAGCGTTCTTACTGGCCTCCGTGCCCTTTTCTTCAAGTCCTAAAGCGGGGGCTTTGCCGTAACATCAATACTAATGCCATCTCAGAGAGGAAGCTGCAGAGTGGGGTTCAGCATGCAGGTTCGGGGATGCAGAGGCCCAGGGTGCGAAAAGACTCTCCGAACCCGCCCCTGGAGTTGGGGCAGCACATCCCTAGCGGAAGTAGGGTTGGTCCTGATTCCCCGAAGAGCCTCTCACCGAGCCCGGTCTTTAACCGGGTCTCTCCCGCACACTGCTCACTGCAAATTTCACCGTCACCACCCACGGAGAAGAGGAGAGCACTGAAGGCCCTAGGAGAGCCCTTGACTTGTTTGGGGGACGCATTCCCTCGCTAGAAGAGACAGCGCACCCGCCTGTCCTACGGGAAGGAAACTCCCTTCCCTTACCCGGCAACGCGCGTAATCCCCCCGCAGGGCCCGAGCAGGGCCTGGGTAGGAGGAGACCGACGGGTCCGGAACTCCCGCTGCAGACCACATGGGGCGGGTGTGACTCCGGTTTCCCGCTCCCCGAGCAGGAGGCCGAGGCTCCCCCGGACAGAGATGATGGCAGCCAAAGGGGGAACGGGGATGCCCGGACCCACCCAGGGCCCTGTCCACGC